AAAATATATATGTATAAGACTGCCCCATGGGCCTAGAGCATAGGCAAGGAAAAAAGGGAAAGGCAGAAGGGTCAAAGTGCAATAAAAGAAAAGCAGAAGAAGAAGAAGAAAAGAAAAGAAAAGAAAAGAAAGAAGCGCCTATGTGTGTGTGTTTGTAGGTCACATCAACTACTGCCATGTATTCCAGCTAGGGGATAGACTGGCTACATTAAAAGCAGTGCTTTTGTTATTATTTGAGGGTGAAATAGAATAAATTTCTAGGCTAATCACATAAAATACCTTGTAAAATTGTAGATTTTCTTGGCTGGGTGTAGTGGCTGACATCAGTAATCCTAGCATTTTTGGGAGGCCAAGGCAGGAGGAACATTTGAGCCCAGGAGTTTGAGGTTGTAGTGAGCTATGATGAGGCCACTGCACTCTACCCAGGACAACACAGCAAGACCCTGTCTAAAAAAATAAAATAAAAATTATAGAGTTTCTTATCCTTTTTCTTTTGACTTGAATTTTACCATGTCTTACAGAAGATGGGAAGGTATATAAGAAAAAATTACTAGATACCGTGAAGTCTCTCAAAGGTAAGAATCATGAGAAAAGCAGCTAAAATGTATTGTGCTTTGCATTTTCTTTCAAAAATCTCACTGATTAGAATCTTGCTATTCCCACCAGTTTACTGATTCTGAATTTATGCCTCATAACCTACCATTCTTCTTTCAGTGTAACTATATTTGAGGAAGTCATTGTTAGTTATATGTTACTGTAGCAAGTTTGAAGTTCTGGTTTCATTTAGGTTGGTTATATTTATCACAATTTATCAGAGTTGTCTAATTCTTCTTTTTCATTCATAATTACTTCAATTCAAAGTTATAGCTCCATGTTGAGGAAGCATTTTCTCTTCTCAACTCTTAACATTGACTATCTGGGTGGCCAATGCGTTTCACTCTCCACTTAGTGTAGATCTTTCACTTCCTCAAATTACTTGCATTTCTTGTTCACATCCTCTTAATTCCTAAGGAAAAAAAGTCAATGTCAGCAAGCTGGAAACCCTTTTGAAGAACATGGAAATTAAGGTTGGGAAAGAGGACTATGAGGACTTACTGAAACATCTGCCAGTTGATGGTAAGTATTTCGGATACCACTGTACCTAGGAGGAACCCTAGGGCTTCTGTAGGAGGGCTTCCTAAAGTAAACCTAGCTTTTAATCTCTTTGAAAAACTTATGAAATATTTCAAACATACAGAAAAACAGAAAACAATGTAACAGTGTGTGCCCACTGACAGAGTTAACAAATATACCACTTTACCACATATGCTTCATGTATCTTCCTTCCTTCCCCTCTTTTCTTCCTTTTTTCTTCCCTCCCTCCTTCCTTCCCAAATAGACTTTTTCTTAATAAGATAAAGTTTCATTAATGACTCAATAAGACCAAATGGGCGCGGTGGCTCACGCCTGTAATCCTAGCACTCTGGGAGGCTGAGGCGGGCGGATTGCTCGAGGTCAGGAGTTCGAAACCAGCCTGAGCAAGAGCAAGACCCCGTCTCTACTATAAATAGAAAGAAATTAATTGGCCAACTAATATATATATAAAAAATTAGCCGGGCATGATGGCGCATGCCTGTAGTCCCAGCTACTTGGGAGGCTGAGTCAGAAGGATTGCTTGAGCCCAGGAGTTTGAGGTTGCTGTGAGCTAGGCTGACGCCACGGCACTCACTCTAGCCTGGGCAACAAGTGAGACTCTGTCTCAAAAAGAAAAAAAAAATAAGACCAATTTAACTGGGCAAAAATGTCAAAGAGGCAAAGCTAGAATATTCATCAGTAAGAAATTCCTAAGGGATGAGCCCCTAGATAAGATTTCCTCATTAGATGGCCCTTGAATTGAAACCCAGAGCTGGTATCTTCTCCATGAAAAACAAGCTTCCATCAGAGAGCCAAATAGCACATCTTTCAGTAGAGCCACCACATGCCAACCCAAAATAAACAAATAATTCTCCCCTAATTTAGTGTTTCTATTCTCAACTAGTGATTGGTAAGTGTAGCTAAGGTAGGCCACTGCTACCAGCCAACATCTTATCTTTCATACTGCCTTTACCTGTAACTGGCCCTAACATAGAAATTAGTTTGGGCCTAACTTGTAGTTTAATACCTCACCTTCCTTGGGTTTAACAATGTTGGTAATTATCCATAATTTTGTCTGGCCCCTCTTCCTAGCATGAAAAAAATCATCATAAATTACTTTTTAATTGTGATATTGTCCCCACACATTAGTGAGGGGTCCTCAAAATGCTTCCTACCAGAAAAGGTATTGTTATCAGTGAGGTATTTTTTAGAACTCTTGATTTTTAAAAAACATGGCATAATATTTTTTTCTAATCCAACAGTGTGACTATTTCTGTACCACTGGAATTCTTTCATTCATTTAGCTAGCACAAACTATATGCAAAACACTAAACTAGAGAGTGGACAGTTTATACTTGGTAATATAAGAAAATTAAGGCATAATCCCTGCTCTCAAATAGTTTACAGTCTTGAGGGGAAAAGGTGGGAAACATAAGCAAAGTTTTGAGAGTGAGAAGATGGTATTCTGTTAAGGTTTAAGGATTAGCTGCTTATGTGAATAAGTGACTTCTAGGTTTCGAATTCAATCCTTTTTATTGAAATATACTCCCTTTATGGGTCTGAAAGTAGGGAGAGGCCTATAGAAGGGACAACTATAATATTAAACGTGCTTCATCTCTATGTTAAGAGTCATTTCGTACTTTGATACTAGTTAAATAGATGTTCACTTTAAATTTGCATCTTGATCTTTTTCTATCCTCTGTTTCTTATTATTTTGAGTTAAAAGAGTTACTAGAGAAAATCAGGGAAGAGAGCGGAATTCCAATCCTTTACATAACAACTTAAATTTTCATATCATTTTTCCAAGTCTAAGATTTGGTCTTTGCACCTGAATTGTCTTTTCTTACCGAGAATGAAATGGTTGATTTGAATATGGTGGTGGAAGAAGCAAAAGCTCTTACAGGTGAGTAAGAAGTTCATGGTGAAAAGAAAATTTATTATTAATTAAGACCTTAATGTATTATAGAGAAAAAGTTTAAATGTTTTTAAATAGTTTTCTCTTTAGGCTATTGCTAACATGCTAAGTTAACTCCATTACAAACTTAAATGTTTGCTTCATAATTTTAATGTTTGATACGGGATTTCTCCTATAGAGACCTACAGTATGCAGAGTTTTGAACAATAAGTTTTTCCACGTCACCATTGTTTCAACAGCCATAATATGTCAACACTGTTCAATCTCAAGGTGAAACTTGTGTAGTATAGCCAAGAAATATGGTTACATGTCAAAGACTCCATAATTCATTTAATATGGTGATATTTGACTTGTATCTGGAATTATAGGAGCTTTTCTTTCTTCAGAATTAAAAGTATAAATTCTATTTCTGACTTAAACTACACATCCACATGTCCCTTGAATCTATGTAGTTTAACAAATTTCATTGTAAATTTGCTCTTTTAATTAATGATAATCCCACAGAGGTAATCTTTTTCATAATTTGAAGTCATTAGCCTATTCCTAAAATTCTTACCTGTTAGCCATTCCCATCTTTCCAAAGGAGAGAAGGTTAATGTCAGCCATCTGGGCAGTGTGCCATGGAAGATGGGGCTAGTGCTCCCTGACGGGGAGCATGTGGAGCTGCTGAAGAGTCTGCCAGTTTGGGGCGAGTATCTAGCACATCCTTTGCAGTTCAGATTTAGGGGCTTGTGTGAAAACTTCTTAAATTATACATGTATATAACCCAATAAAATCATTCTCACACTAAAAAAAAGTTAATTCTCACACTAAAAAAAATCTCATTGCCTATTTTTGTCACTTATATTTTAATACTGAAAGCTGGCACACTAATTTCCACAGTCCAGGCTAAATTATCCTGTCGCCCTAAGAGCACTATCTAATCTAAATTATGACCAAGAAGAGGGAAGCCAAGGAAGTAAGAGAAGGAAGGAAAAAGGGAGAAACAGAGAAATAAAGAATGTTTGTAGGCCAGGTGCGGTGGTCCACACCTGTAATCCTAGCACTTTGGGAGGCCGAGGTGGGCAGATTGCTTGATGTCAGGAGTTCGAAACCAGCCTGAGCAAGAGCAAGACCCCGTCTCTACTATAAATAGAAAGAAATTAATTGGCCAACTAATATATATAGAAAAAATTAGCCAGTCATGGTGGAGCATGCCTGTAGTCCCAGCTACTCGGGAGGCTGAGGCAGTAGAATTGCTTGAGCCCAAGAGTTTGAGGTTGGTTTGAGCTAGGCTGACGCCATGGCACTCACTCTAGCCTGGGCAACAGGGCGAGACTCTGTCTCAAAAAAAGAGAATGTTTCTAATTCAATCAACGAGTAGATTTGTAACAGTGAAAGCTTCCTTTATCTTTCGTTCTTATTTCAGGATAAATTAGAATAAAATTCTAAACAAATTGGAAGGTTTTCTTTTTTCTCTAAAATTATGGATGTTGTGTTGTCTTTGTTAATCTTCCCATCATTTAACCTATATTCTGAATTGGGCCTTATCTTACAGCTGGTGGAAAAGTATATAAGAATAGATTGCTAAAAGGTGTGAAGGTCCTCAGTGGTGAGTGAGAAGCATGAGCAAGTAAAAAAAAAAATCCTTATGTTTAGCATTTTCTTTTCAATGTTCAACTTTACTTCTTGCCAATTTACTAATCAATTGTTATGAATTATAACTTACCATTCTTCTTTGGACGCATTGATACTTTGGTTTCTAAGTTAAAGTAACACATTACTGTAGGAAGTTTCTAAAACTGTTTTCTGGCTAGGCCCATATTAGATTAGTTGTTTCAACCATGAGCCATTAGCCTTGCCTATTCTCTGATAACCTGTGGAAAACTGAAGCAGAGCCCCCAAGATCAGTATTAAAAGAAGTATCCTGTTTTCACTTTCCATACTAACTCTGTAAAAACAATTATTCTTTTAATTTTTAATTAGAAAAAATATTTTTAAAAACACAAAAATACTACAAGAAAATTGTCCAACTCTAATCTTTTTAAAAATTGATATAAAGAAGTGGAAGTCCTCCTACCTCCTACCAACCTAATCCCTCCCCATAAATACTACTAACAATTCAGTTATTATCTTTCTCAGTTGTTTCCTACTTTTAAAAGGCATAGCTAAAAAATAAAAAAGGCATATCTAAATCTAAATCTAGAGAGATACACACACACGTACACACACACACACAGGTTAATAGTTTCTTTGTGCTCTGGTCCTTTACCCTCCAATTGGGGCTTTTGATACATGACCAGGATTAGCATTTTTCACTGTTAAGCATCAATATTCATATTCTTATTCCATGCTCTTCTCTCCTAAGGGTCAAAGGTCAAAATCAACAAAGTGGAACCTTTTTTGGAAAACATGGGAATTATAGTCAAGGATGAGGAACTTGATGAACTAATGACCCAACTACCAACTGATGGTGAGTGATACGGACGTCATTATGCTCTTCAGAGAAACATTTGAGCCCCTTTATTAGAACTGCTGAAAGTAGCCTTTTTAGTATCATAATAAAGTAATATGGGCCAGGCACGGTGGCTCACGCCTATAATCCTAGCACTCTGGGAGGCCGAGGTGGGCGGATTGCTCAAGGTCAGTTCAAAACCAGCCTGAGCAAGAGTGAGACCCTGTCTCTACTATAAATAGAAAGAAATCAACTGGCCAACTAATATATATAGAAAAAACTAGCTGGGCATGGTGGTGCATGCCTGTAGTCCCAGCTACTCGAGAGGCAGAGGCAACAGGATTGCTTGAGCCCAAGAGTTTGAGGTTGCTGTGAGCTAGGCTAATGCCACGGCACTCACTCTAGCCTGGGCAACAAAGCGAGAGTCTGTCTCAAAAAAAAAAAAAAAAAAAAAAAGTATGATATGTTAAGATTGTGCCTAGACTTTCATTTCTTAAATCACAAATATAATCAATATGCTAATTTGTATCTTAGGTCATGATTCCAGCAAAAAAAAAGGAGGAAAAATATTGGAGTAATTGAAACTAGAAAATAAAAATGAGTGTTAGGGAGATATACACAGGAGAAGCAGGGGAAATTTGGGGTTGGTTGATTGCTTATTTGTTTGTTGAAATTTTTGTTGTTTATTGTATCTAGTTACATGACTTATTCAATGGCCTTTATGTTATATAGCTACTTTTTTTATTTCTACTACTTTCTTTGTTATTTTGATACCATAAAAAAGATGATCAAAGTGCCTTGGAAGGTGGCATTTCTTACTAATAATATAGTGCTTCAGAGATGTTGTCAGATAGTTTCTGTGCATCTCTGGCCTTGAATTTGAAAGACTGGTGATTTATTTAACCAATTAATATTTATTGGTCACTGAATATGTCCATGCCCTATACTAGATACTAGGGATACTTAGTACCCCTAATATTAAGGGAGTCATACTTAGCTTTCTCTGCTAAGCCCAACTGAAAGCAGGAGATCAAACACTGAACCATTAAGTTACTCAAACCCTGGTTTTATAGCAATAAATTTGAACCTATTCATTGCAAACATCTCCATTTTCTATTCTCTGCAGTTTGTCATTTCTTCCTATTCACCTACACTCTCATCCTCTCCTCTCTTCCATTGAAGATGTTCTTCACAACCCTTTCAAATCCACTACTCTCCACTTATCATCCTCCACCTCTCCTTTAATAATTTAAAAATGACTCCCTTAATAATTTCTTTCCAATATATTCAATTTCATCTATCCCTTTCCACACTGCCTATAAAGAGGAAAGCTGGGCCAGGAGTGGTGGCTCATGCCTGTAATCCTAGCACTCTGGGAGGCCAAAGGGGGAGGATCGCTTGAGCTCAGGAGTTCAAGACCAGTCTGAGCAAGAGCAAGACCTCATCTCTACTATAAAGACAAATTAGCCAGACAACTAAAAAAAAAAAATTAGCCAGGATGGTGGCGCATGCCTGTAGCCCAGCTACTGGGAGGCTGAGGCAGGAGGATTGCTTGAGCCCACGAGTTTGAGGTTGCTGTGAGCTAGGCTAACACCCCAGCACTCTAGCCCAGGCAACAGAACAAGACTGTTTCAAAAAAAGAGAGCGGGAGAAGCCGCCCTCAGAGCAATCGTTTTTGTTGTTGTCGTTGGTTTTTTTTGAGACAGAGTCTCACTCTGTTGCCCCGGCTAGAGTGCTGTGGCATCAGCCTAGCTCACAGGCAACCTCAAACTCTGGCTCAAGTGATCCTTCTGCCTCAGCCTCCCGAGTAGCTGGGACTACAGGTGTGCACCACCATGCCCAGCTAATTTTTTCTATATATTTTTAGTTGTCCAGCTAATTTATTTCTATTTTTAGTAGAGACGAGGTTGGTCTCACTTTTGCTCAGGCTGGTCTTGAATTCCTGACCTTGAGCAATCCTACCTCAGCCTCCCAGAGTGCTAGGCTTACAGGCATGAGCCACCATGCCGGCCCAGAGCAATCCTTTTTTTGTTTTGACGACAGACGTCCTCACCTTTGGTTCGTCCCCAGCCCAGAGTGAGTGCTGTGGCGTCAAGCCCTAACGCTCACAGCAACGACTCAAACTACTGGGCCAAAGCGATCCTCTGCCTCCAGCCTCCGCGCGACGTAGCTGGACATTCACAGGCATGCGCCACCATGCCCGGCTAATTTCCTATATAGCGACTATCAGTCAGCTTGCCAATTACTTTCTTATTCTATTCTTACGTCAGAGACGGCGGGTCTCGCTCAGGCTGGTTTGACACTCCTGACTGTGACATCGCCCCGCCTCGTCAGGCCCCCAGGAGCTGGATTCACAGGCGTGCCGCCACACCAACGAGATGCAAGTCTTTACATAGCAATTATCAGAAGCCTTAATGATGCCTTCCTGTGTTTCAAAAAGAGTCCAAACAAAATCCACTGCATCATAGCCTACATGTACTTTTCAACTTTCTCCTCCACTACCCTCCAACACATTATGTTCCAAACCCACTGAACTACCCACAGTTCCTTCAAAATACCTTGTTCCTTCCTACTTTTGTCCCTTTAATATAATTTCCTGAAACACAGAAAAGAACTGCATTAAAGAAGTAGAGACACTTGTCACTCTGAAAGATTCATCCTTTTTTCCATCATACTTCCCTGAGAGAAAAATAAATCCAAATCACAAAGCAAACTGTTTCTAGTTCTTCTAACTCATGAAAAAACTTTCAGCCTACTATATTATTTTTAATAATTTCAAAGCTTTTATCAATTTTTATAAGTTTTCATGTGACTCCCCTTGTATATGTATGTTTTACAGGAAATGGGAAGGTTAATATTCAGTCAATCATGGAGGGCCTGAGGAAGTTTAAACGTGAGTGAAAACTTATGGTATAATATAAAATCACTAATCTGATACCATACATTTATTTTTGTGTTTTCTTGGCTATAAAAGTAATACATGTCATTATAGAAAATGTCTATATTTAGAAAATGAAAGAATGCAAAAGGAAAATTTTTGTAATTCTTAATTCTATCCTCTAATGATAATCCATAACTTTATGACTACATATTTTTTCCTTATGCATATACAATTTTGTGCATTTTTGTATACTTCTAATGTATTTATATTCCATTTTCTCACTGATATTAAAATATTATCTTTTTATAAGTATATCTAATGACCTAAAATTCCTTTCTGGATGCCTCTGAAATTTAATACATAATCTCAGTACTTTTTGTTTGCAGGCTCCTTATTCTATTTAATTATTTCTAAAATAAGTTTCCCATTAGCAAAATGCTATGTTCTATGCTTACATAGAAAAGAATGAATGGAAGGTTTGAAAATTATGCTGCGAAACTGATCAATAGAGGCAAACTAAAACTTGTCTCTGCCTTTTTCCCCCACACACAAACAACCTCAATTTGAATTCATTTTTAAGTAATTTTGATTTGTTCTCTGCACTTGCATTTCCCAACAAATATGACCCCAAAAATGTGCTGTATCTATGCAAGCCTAACTGTGTTTCAAAAAGAAGGATCTGAGGCCAGGTCCAGTGGCTTGGGCCTATAATCCTAGCACTTTGGGAGGCCGAGGTGAGAGGATAGCTTGAGGCCAAAAGTTTGAGACCAACCTGAGCAAGAAAGAGACCCCATCTCTACAAAAAAGCAAAAAAATTAGCTGGGCGTGGTGGCCTGTAGTCCCAGCTGGTTGGGTGCTGAGGCAGGAGGATTGCTTGAGCCTAGGAGTTTGAGGTTGTTGTGAGCTATGATGATGATACTGCACTCTAGCCCAGGCGACAAAGTAAGACTCAGTCTCAAAAAAAAAAAAAAAAAAAAAAATCTAAGAATAAGATCCTTCCTTTATAAGGTACTTTATATAAGTATCCACAAAATGAATTTTAATAAGAGAAGATAAATTTAAATTCTGGGTACCCACACTTAACATTTCTAAATGAGTCCTGTTATATTTTATTATTTGTAAAAGAAAAAATAAAACTTTTGAATAAGTCCATTCTATCCCACCTATTGCTGCTTTTGTTGCTGGTGCCAGAAAGCTTTCAGGAATGTTCACTTGGTATCTTTTATCCCCAACATTTAAAATCATGCTGCTGAATTAAGGATACTGGAAACAATCTGCCATGGTCATGTATAAGCTCTGTGTTCATCAGTAAGTATTTATTAAGTACTCAGGCACTGTTCAAGAAAGTTTGCTGATGCACAAGAGATAAGCAAGATTTCTGCTCTCACTGAGGCTTAGTTTTTGAGTGCATAGTATATCCTCAATAAATGCTTATTGATTGATGGAGGTTCTAGTCTCCGGCTTTCAGATAATTGAAGATTCACTAACCCAGACAGCTGTATTGAGGTCATTCTTGAAATAATCTTCTCTATCTGGGCCACTCAGAACAAACAGTTCTAATACTAACAACCCCAGGGAACATAAGTGAGTCACCCATATCAGAATTGGTTGTTAAAAATCATTTATTTACAAATCTGGGAAAACATAACTTTAAAGTCCTCTCTGCTTACTTTTCCATTATTCTTCTTTCTCCTCTTCCATTTCTTCTTTTTTTCTTTTTTTATTATCTTCTTCATATCTCTAAAAAAAATATTTTTCTTTCATTCCTGTTTCCCTTTGTTTTCCTAGTGTTATTCTTTTCCTTCCATCTCTTTATCAAAATATACACATTGCACAAGGCTACCCTGCTCATACATGTGCTTCCTTCACTATGTAAGCCCCAATCCACCCGCTGCTACCAAAATACATTTTACTCTGTGAAGTACACAGTGCATTTTATACATTTTAAAGTATGTTTTGTAATTTTATAAATTTCAAACACTAGTGTCTATTTAAAAGATTCACTAAATAATACTCAATTTCTGCTTATAAGTTTGGTTTATAGATATGGGTATTAAGGGAACAAATTGTATTTCTAAAATAATACCATATTGACACATTCTGTGCATTCAAACATATACTACTGTCATTTAAGTTTTCACATTCAAATTTCATATGACTAGACATAAGCATAATGTTATTTTTCTCACTTAAATATCTTTTTTTTCCAAATTTCCATTTCACCATTTCTATTTGCTAAGGAATAAAGGTGAATTTCAGTTACCTAAGCATGATAAAGTAGAAATAGCATTCATATATCAACAACTTCAAGACCTGCTAATATTTCTGTCAGTTGATGGCAAACATTCAGAACTCCACTCTGGCCTTCACAGAGTTTCAGTTTTTCAAGATGAAAAAGTTCTATAGATTGGTTGCACAACATGGGAATATATAGGACAGCACTGAATTGTGCACTTAAAAGTGGATAATATGGTAAATTTTATTTCCTGTGTATTTTACCCAATTAAAGATTTTTTAAAATAATAATTTAAAAATTCTACTTTTCAACAACCTCATCCAATAGGAAATGTCATTATCCCCATTTTAAATCTTGGGAGCCTTTAACATAGTAGGCTTTTAGTAAATATTGAGTTAATTTGTAAATTAAACCTTCCCTTTATGTCCCTGAACAGAATGGGAGGCCATGTACCAAGTATGAAAAGACTAGGGTAAAGTCAAATTATTCTCATAATTAACAAACCCCCTGAGCAGGAATCAGTAACTTCTAGTGCAACTTCTCTTGCCACTAAGTGAAGCCTGAAGCACTTTTGGGGGCCCAACTATGTACTTAGCTAAGCCTTGGGTGCCAGAGGTATCTGTGCTTGGCCACAATAATCTAACTGTATCAAATTCTACAGCTCTAAATAAAGCAAGTAAATTACTTATAGAAATCCTAGCACTCTGGGAGGCCCAGGCGGGCAGATTGCTGGAGGTCAGGAGTTCGAAACCAGCCTGAGCAAGACCCCATCTCTACTAAAAATAGAAAGAAATTAATTGACCAACTAAAAATATATATAGAAAAAATTAGCCAGGCATGGTGGTGCATGCCTATAGTCCCAGCTACTCAGGAGGCTGAGGCAGTAGGATTGCTTGAGCCCAGAAGATTGAGGTTGCTGTGAACTAGGCTGATGCCACGGCACTTACTCTAGCCTGGGCAACAAAGTGAGACTCTGTCTCAAAAAACTAAAAAAATAAAGACACTCCTAACTTGTGCTAGAGGATTTATAATGCCATGAGATATGTCATAACATGAATACTACAGTATCTGCTTAAAACAAGCAATCTTTTCTTTAATTGCTCCTTTTAAGTCACTTTTCCCAATAATGCTAAAGACTACAAGCATATGAGAGTTTGATTTTTTTACTGTCTTTCTAGGCTTAAACAGTTAATCAATTGATTCTTAATTACCATTCCGTCAAGGCAGCTGGGTAAATATGTTTTACTTGAACAATTTTCAACTCACTAATGAAAATATATTAACATGAAAATATATTAATACAGAATTTAAAACCAAAAACTAATGAAAATATATTAATACAGATTTAAAACAAAAAAAAATTCTTCTCCTTCCCTGAAATCTAGACAGTGTCCAAATGTTCTTATTCTGTAATTCACACCCTCATATACCCCAAGGATGCTGAATGACCTACATTGAAAACACATTCGCTCTAAGGCTGGAAAGAGCTTACGAGTCATTCTCTCCCTTGGCCTGAGCCTGAGCAGGGAATGAGGTCACAGTTGTATGATGGAACAAACCCTTTATTGGATTCTTGATCTGATTGAAGCCCAGAAGTGGTAAGTAGCACAGCTTAAAAGTAGGTAAATATCAGGATTTTGTAGGATTCTATGCTGACTCATTTTTTTAAAATCTATAATCTATGAGAGATTGAAGGTATTTTTTTTTTAAAATAATGATTATTTTTAGCCGCGAGGATGATTTCACAGGACCTTTCAAATGCTGAAATTGTTGACTCTCTCCGGAGTTCCCAGCTCTGTGGTAGGATTCCAGATGTTGACCACTTGTAATTAAGTTGTTTAAAAACAACTGCTTTTCACACTCTGAGGTAAAGACCTGGGAAAAATTGATCAAATTCTAACATTCAGAGACTTTTTTTCTTCATAGTTTAATAGTGTTCAATTGTCCATTATTCCTAAGTCCACAACCTGGTTTTCTTGTCAGTAAACCACCTAATACACTCTACATTTTAAAAGTTAATTGGAGAGATAAAAACCAACAAAGGCAGAAGCTTTACCAAGCCAGCTTCTGGTCCATAGGCCCTATTTCTCAAACTATGCAGAAGTGAAAAGGAGGGCTAGGAGCCATAGTAGTTAAAGAGTCCATTTAGCATAGTCTGGGGTAGCAAAACAGCATTATATCCCACCCCCATTCCTACTTTTAAAAAATACCAGTTGGGCCAGGCGTGGTGGCTCACGCCTGTAATCCTAGCTCTCTGGGAGGCTGAGGCGGGCGGATTGCTCGAAGTCAGGAGTTCAAAACCAGCCTGAGCAGAGCGAGACCCGTCTCTACTATAAATAGAAAGAAATTAATTGGCCAAATAATATATATAGAAAAAATCAGCCAGGCATGGTGCCCATGCCTGTAGTCCAGCCACTTGGAGGCTGAGCAGAAGGATGCTTGAGCCCAGGAGTTTGAGGTTGCTGTGAGCTAGGCTGACGCCACGGCACTCACTCTAGCCTGGGCAACAAAGCGAGACTCTGTCTCAAAACAAAAACAAAACAAAACAAAAAATACCAGTTCGTTCATGAGAAATGATAGGGCAGGGATGGGTCTACCAGAAGGAAATTTGGGCAAAATCTACTTACCGCCAGGCAGGAATCTAAGATATAAACTAGTAGGCAAATATTTTAGAAATAGTGTAACATTTTATTCTTTGTCAATTGTGACTTGAAATATTCTACTGATTTCATAAATAAATTTTATCTTCAAATAACATTATCCTGCATATTTCTAGGATGCTTTATCTGTATCACATGGCACCATTTTTATCATTTAATGTGTACTACTTGATGATTTGATATATGTATACATTCTGAAATAATCACCACAATCAAGCTAATTAACACATCCATCACCTCACATAGTTACCATTGGTGTATGTGTGTGTGTGTGTGTGTATGTGTGTGTGGTTAACACTATTCTCTTACAGATTTCAAGTACACAGTACAGTATCGTGACCCATAGTCACCATGCTATACATTAGACTTTCAGAACTTATTCATTTTCAAGTTTTATACTCCTTGACCAACATCTCCCCATATTCCCCTCCTCCTAGCCCCTGGTAACTACCATTCTACTCTCTGCTTCTGTGAGTTTGACTATTTTAGATTCCACTTATGAGTGAGATCATACAGTATTTGTCTTTCTGTGTCTGATTTACTTCACTTAGCATTTCTTTTTATACAGGATCAGTGTGATAATATTTGAAGGGGGGGGCGCCAGTGGCAAGAAATTTCTTAAGAGATCTGGGAACAATACACAAGAAAGTTGGATTCCACATGGCTTCCTAATTTGCACATATCTCTAACTTGAATTTGCATGTATTACCATTCTGTAAGGCCCCGGCCTTTTCAAACTCTAGGCCTTGAGCTGAAAAAGTTGCAAAAGAATATATATAAATTAATCTGTGAGCTGATTATTAATTATATTTTCTGAATTCCAGACAGAGTCACTGGCCACATGGCAGTTTCAGAAATTAAAGCAAAACTTAAGCTGAATCCTCTAACAAAAGTACCCATCTCCCACGGCAAGAGGTAGGTAATGAATGTACTGAGGTGGTAAATATATCATAATAAAGAATTATTAAGGTGATGAATATATTAAATTCCCATAAAGGCTATGATGAAACAATTAGAATGATCTTCAAATATCTATTCTGCAGCCTTGGCCACAGAGTGAGATCCTGTTTCTACAAAATATTTTTTAAAAATTACCCAGGTGTGGTGGCACATGCCTGGAGTTCTAGATACTCCCCCGGCTGAGGGAGGAGGGTCACTGAAGCTTGAGGTTACAGTAAGCTATGATCATGTCACTCCACTCCAGCCTGGAAAATAGAGCAAGACCCTGTCTCTTTAAAAAAAATCTATTCTGTGATATGTTTAGTTATAAAACAAAACATCTGAACTTAAGAGACAGATTTGTTAATGAAAGCAAAAAGATATGCAAACTTCTTGATTAGAGAAGCAAAGAGTTCTCCTACCTGTTCTCCCAAACAAGAAGCTATTTTTTTGTTGTTCTCTTTATTTGGTGGAATTTATTGAAAATCTTAAGAGAATTTACATTTACCATAAGGAAGATATAAAAATGAGAGCATATAAAGGAAGCCACAGAGTCAGGTACACCAGAAACAACATATAGCCAGAAGGAAATTAAGGCCAGTGGAGGGGAAGAAGCCATTTGTAGTGAAACCGGGTGGGTGGACCATGGGAGGAATAGGGTGCCAGTGCTGGGTAGGGTAGGGAAGAGGAGAGGTATGCAAGAGGGAAGGGTATGGAGGATGAGGCAGTGGGGAAGGGGAGAGGGTGGGTTTGGGGGATTGTAGGGGTAGGGGAGAGGGAATATATGGGAGAGGGAAGGGTGAAAGGAGAAGAGGGTGGGAGAGGCCAGCGCATCCGCGGGCCCGCATCACTGAGTACGACATCCTCATTTCGGAGATGAGGAACCGTCTACGAACGTACAGCTATCTGAAGCAGGCGGAGCCAGGGCCAAGAGGCTATTTTTGTCAGTACAGTTGTCAGTTACACATTGAGATATTTTGAGTGCCAGTTTGAAGGAGAAAAAAATTAGAAGATCATAAAGAAGACCTAAACCCTAGCAAGTCAAAGTATAGAAAAAGAGTCTATATTTCAAACATAGCCAGTAAATGAAATCTGGTAAATTAGCCATGACAAACCCTGGGCTAAAATTGGAAAAGGAGGCTTGCCTGTGACACTAACCATAGCTTTTTCTCAGTTAGCTAACATCAAATTCCAATAAACAGCTACTGATGACTGAAAGTGAGAGCCTGATTTATGTTTTAATCTGATCATAAGAAGAAAATCTTATTTCCTTCCCCATAATTAACCACGTACTTTGCCACTTAGAGAATATTTTTCTTGGTGTCCTGACTATGACACTCTAAAGAAATGTGTGACTTTTTTAGAGGGAAGTAGGTAAGATAACCTTAAGGCAGCCAAACCCTTGACCTCACTTCCCTTTCCCTGCATTACAAGCTGTCTTTTGAAATTGTTGAGTTCCTTATCACTAAAAGTAGTTAAGCAAAGACTGGACAGTACCACATATTGAGAGAATTCCTACATTAGATGAGAGGCTGAATAAGTTTCATTCCAAACATAAGATTCCTTAGTCATTTGAAACATTGCAAAATAAAGACTTTCTCCAATGTTTGATCCAAGATAAGGTTTGAAATTGTACCAAGAGAATCTCTTTTTTTTTTTTTTTTTTGAGACAGAGTCTCACTTTGTTGCCCAGGCTAGAGTGAGAGCCGTGGCGTCAGCCTGGCTCACAGCAACCTCAATCTCCGCGGGCTCAGCGATCCTCCTGCCTCAGCCTCCGAGTAGCTGGGACTACAAGCATGCCACCATGCCCGGCTAATTTTTTGTATATATATTTTTAGTTGGTCAATTAATTTATTTCTATTTTTGGTAGAGACGGGGTCTCGCTCAGGCTGGTTTCGAATTCCTGACTTGAGCAATCCGGCCACCTCGCCTCCCAAAAGTGCTAGGATTACAAGCATGAGCCACCACGCCCGGCCGAAATCCTTTTTTAAATGTAGCTAAAAAACTTTATACTGCCTGGCCTACTTCCCTCTTGCTTCTTGAGAACATCATATATCTCCATCTATTGCATCTTTTACATCATGCAAAAGAAATTTGTTTATATTTAGAAATACAGATGGTCCCCATCTTAACAATGGCTCAACTTAAAATTTTTTGACTTTACAATGGTATGAAAGCAGTATATATTCAGTAGAAATCATACTTTGAGTACCTCAACAACCATTGTTTTTCACTTTCAGTACAATATTCAATAAATTACATGAGACATTCAACACTTTGTTACAGAATGGTTGTGTGGTAGATGATGTAGACTAATGTAAGTATTCTGAGTACATTGAAGGTAGTTTAGGCTAAGCTATGATCAGTAGGTTAGGTGTATTAAATGCATTTTTTACTTAATGATATTTTCAACTTACGATAGGCTTACTGGGATATAAACCCATCATGAGTCAAGGAACGTCTGAACAGCAAATATAAAATAATCTCTCCGAGTAAAGACAAAATTGAGTTTTCAGAAGTTTAAGTAGGTGATAAAAACTAAACACCAGAAGAAGAAATCAATGCTTGTAAAAACTGAGAAAATAAGACAAATTAGATAAAATTACATTTTGAAAAGTTGAGAACAGTACATTTTGAGAACTTATCACCTACTTTTCTCCCAGGCCCCACTTTGAAAATGAGTTGAATCTGATACTCTAGAGGATACTATTAATAAACCATAATAATTATTTTGTTTAACTACAATGTTTAGTATTTCTTCTAGTTTTACTTTTTTTGGGGGGGACAGAATCTCACTTTTTTCCCAGAATAGAGTGCCAAGGCATCAGCCTACCTCACAGCAACCTCAAACTCCTGGACTCAAGCAATCCCTCTGCCATAGCCTCTTGAGTAGCTGGGACTATAGGCATGTGCCACCATGCCCGGCTAATTTTTCTATATATATTTTTAGCTGTCCAAGTAATTTATTTCTATTTTTAGTAGAGACACAGTCTTGCTTTTGCTCAGGCTAGTCTTGAACTCCTGAGCTCAAATGATCCACCCGCTTAGGCCTCCCAGAATGCTAGGATTACAGTCATGAGCCACTGTGCCCGGCCTTAGTTTTACTTTTTGAACTGCCTCTTATAAAAGCACAAAACTATGAGATTTCATTTTTTTAAATGTTTTTAGTTCTGCATCAAAACTAAAGGTATTTTAAATAAAATAAATTTATAACATTGTAATTAAACTTTATAATTAAACTATATTTACTTAAATGTAATTAAAGTTTATTTAAGTTACCATATTATAAGCAAACCCAGTTTTACAGATACATTTTTGTGTTCTTAAACTAATAAATTACTGCAGGTCTATACAAAGTATCCCCCAGGTATTGATGTTTTCCTTCCTTTTCCAGATTTTACTTTCACCCAGGGTTCCAAACTTTCCAGAAATGCTCTGTCCTTATCTTTATCCCTATCTAGCTCTATCTCTATCTATCTCTAATATTGGTAAAAAATACAATTTGGCAATTAAAATTATAAAATAATCATGGATGCAAAGGTTTCTGTAGAAGGATATTCACCAAGACATTATTTATACTAGTTAAAATTTGAAACAACATATATGTATGTGTGTGTATCTATATTATTTTAGAGACAGGTCTTGCTCTTTTGTCCATGCTGGAGTGCATTTTTCTTAGCTACAGCCTAGAACTCCTGATCTCAAGAGATCCACCCACCTTGGCTTCCCAAAGTACTGGGATTAAAAGTGTGAGCCACTGAGCCCGGTTGAAACTTATATTTCTAACAACAGTTATACTGTAAAGCTTATATCCATGAGCTCTGGAGTCAGACAAATCTGGGTATCAATCCCAGGTCTTCCACTTATTATAGTATCTGTGTGACTTGCAATGAGTTATTTGATCCCTCTAAGCCTCAGTTTTCTCTTTGGTAAAATGGGAAAAATCAGATGTTTTTAAGGGAGGGGTGATGAGCAAGTATAGGGCAGAGGTGGACCTCAGAAGCAATATTTTCTCGCTGTCCATCCTGTGGCTATTGGCAAGTGACAGTAATAGGTCCCTTAGGTAGTAAGACTGGATATGTTGTGATGCTTCGGTCATTCCAGTCAGCAAAAACTGATAAACAGGACTGGTTGCACATATGTATTAAATGTAAATCTTTTCATGTCTTTTCTCAGGGATAAAGACTTACCAGGATTTCAATGCCAAATACAACACAAAGAAAAGAAGTTAACTGCTTCACAAATGGAAGGTAATGAAAATCATCCTCAAAATTGAAACATAAAAAACAGCTCCTTACTATATCTGACCCTTTCTTCTCAAAGACAGGTCTGGAATTTCAAGGGTTGTCAATACCACCCTGTCACTTGAGAGAGAATTTAAAAAAACACAAAAAACTTTTTGTGGCAGAGGAGGGGAATTGCTTTCAAATGGGCATCTCCCTAGAATTTAGACAGTCCTGGTCAAAGAAGAATTTGTGGCTGTGGAAAAGAACAAAGGCAAGGTCAAATATAAATTAAGTAATAAAGAGGCCAGGCAGGGTGGCTCACACCTGTAATCCTAGAACTTTGGGAGACCAAGGAGGGAGGATTGCTTGAGGCTAGGAGTTAGACATCAACCTGAGCAAGAATGAGACCTGGCTGCTACAAAAAAAAAATAGAAAAATTAGGGGAGCATGGTAGCATGTGCCTGTAGTCGCAGCTACTTGGTAGTCTGAGGCAGGAGGATTGCTTGAGCCCAGGAGTTTGAGGTTGCTGTGAACTGGGGTAACAGAGCAATACTCTGTCTCAAAACAAACAAATGAACAAAAAGTAATGAAGAATATAAACTCAACAACTAACGTCCCAGGATTTCTCAGAAAAAAAAGGTTATAATGATAAAATTAGCTATAAAATTAGCTATACTGGCTACAGTTCATTCATCCAAACAATAAATATTTATTTAAAGCCAAAATGTAATACACACAGAAAACACAACAGAACAAGTCAGACATGGTCCCTGCCCTGAAAGGAAGTCTAACATGGAAGGAAGTTAAACTGTGAATTTGTTGAATAAATCACTTACATTACAATCTGACATGAATTATGATAGGAAGAACATAGAGTGCTATAGAAGCACAAAAGAAAGTCTCCTAACTTGGTCTTGTGAATGAAGAAGAGTAGTTGCAGAGAAGGCTGAACGATGAGTTAGGAATAAATCAGTAAAAGAGCACAGAGAAGAGTGTTCCGGGCAGAAAGGACAGAATCTACAGAGGCCCAGAGAAAAGGGAAAGCATGATGCACCAGAAAAACTAACAGAAGTCAAGCATAGCTGTGTTTGGGTTCTGGGGAAGCTAATGCTTCACATTTCCAAATTTAGAACCAATTGAGAAATTGACTCAAGAGACAGAAAGGAATCAAAGAATCACTTTTATTGCTGGGAAAGCTGGTTTGGGAAACACAAAGGATTGTCAAGATCAGATTTGCATTTTTAATTGTAAAACTGAGCTAAATTCCTTATAGTTTTATAAAATTTTAAGATTTCTAATGTACCTTAATAAACATTGGTGTTCATTTTAAGGGATCTGTTTTAGTCAGGTATGGTAAGACATGCAGATGTGGAAATGACTGTCATGAAGTAAGTTTTTCATACTCACAGATCCCTGGAATAAGGAGGCACAGCCTGCCAGGCAGGGTCACATGAGGAAGCACCAAGGTCAGTTAGGAAGTAGTTGGGGCAGAATGTGGACAAGAGCCTTTACTGTGGTTTCCACAGAAAGGAATGGACAAGGCAGGTTAGGATTAGCCAGTTTGAATAATTTCAGTGGGCTCTGGGATATAGGGACTGTCCCCAGCTTCCTGATACCTGCCCCTTGAGTGATCAGAGCAGGGGAACAGTGGCCCTGAGTATAGGAGCTGGAGAAGGCAAGCAATTGGGGGTATGGGCTCTGGATTAGTTGGTTCGAATATGAAAGAAAGACTCACAAACTGGTAGTTTTTACTGTCTCTAGGAATTGACTAGCCCTGATAAGGGCAGCCCCTCCAGGGCTAGCAAGACCCCAGATATCAAAACATCAAATACAGGCCAGACAGGGTGGCTCAGGCCTGTAATCCTAGCACCCTGGGAGGCTGAGGTGGGCAGATCGCTTGAGGTCAGGAGTTCAAGACCAGCCTGAGCAACAGCGAGACCCCATCTCTACTATAAATAGAAAGAAATTAGAGGCGCGAGCTCGTGGTTCCTCGGGCGCGTGGTGGGTTGCGGCCGCCGGCTGCGAACAGCTTCTGGAGGCGCTCTGGGATTTGGGGCTGCGTCCTTCGTGCTGAGCTCTAACCCGTCTGAACGCCCTTGCTCTTCGGCAGAGTTCGCAGTGACCAAAAGGTCTGCCCACCCCTTTAAGCCCCGGGACCGCTGTGGCGGCCGCTGTGCGTTACAGGCTGAGCGGTCCAACCATGCTCAGCATCCGAACATCTTAGAGAGAAACCGGAGCCATTCCCACTGGCAGCCCAAACCCGCAAACATTGCCCCTGGCAACCTTTTTGTATTTTTTTTTTTAGTTAAAAGCTATATAGGCAGCTTCTCTGGGTTTGTGTACAAGTAAGACCCTTAAGGAAATTAATTTCTCCAGCAATCCCTTCTGCTGTGTAACTTTCCTGTATATTGCTGGCGTTTTAGGCATGAGTGTTAGGTTATGTGGCTTTAAATGGAATTAATTTCAAGTTGCTTTCTCCTTGGAGCACTTCGGAGGACTCTAGAATAGTACACTCCGCATTTTTTTTTTTTAATGACTCAGTGAAGTTTGAGCCCACACTCCCAATATGTGGATAATAATTTGCAAATTACATACATGTACATTAGAATGCATAGACAAATATCAAAAGAATCTAAAAACTATAAATAGAGGCTCTGTTATGTCTTCCTAAAGGCAACCCACTGCAACAGATGCTGCTTTGGGAAACAACCAGAACCATTCGTTTGATTGTTCATACAGAAGTTTTCCTAAGGAGGAAAGGCTCTTTCTCTGGGCAAGTTGTTTCTTTTAATGTTAGAGTGTGAGTCCAGAATAGCAGAGATTTTTGTGTTTTGGTCACTATCCCCAGTGGCAGAAGGTCTTAGTATAAACTAATAAGTATTTAATCAACACAAATGTCTGTGAATGTTTCTTTAAGCTTTTTGCAGCAAACTCCAATCATTCTTTTAAGATTCAAGTCAAATAACTTGAATGGGAATTTGAAATGTGTTTCCATTCTTTTTCCTTAGCACCTGTTCATTCAATTATGGTATAGCACCTACAGTGTTAATTGTTTTCATTTCCTTGTGTTCTACTCCTACTCTGAGCCAACCTCACCCCATCATCTCTCTTTCTCACTTACACACACACACACACACACCACTCACACTTGAGATCCTTAATTCAATGCATGTTATGGCTTTGTTATTTATACTCTAGTGCCAGAAAAGTGAATGGTATTCAGTGAATTCTCAGCAAATAATTATTTACTGATTAAGTATATTGCTACATTACTGATGGAGATAAATAAGAGACGTACTCAAGTTAAAACACAATGGGTCACTTAAATATTAATATGTGTTCATTTACTGTTCCTTGTATGTAGCAATGAGCAATAACTATGGTACCTACTTTGGCTCTAAAGAATGTATTGATTTCTACTCACTTGGATTCTGAGTTCTAAGAGTATTATGTATTAATATCATGATCAATTTTGTGGGCTTCAAAGTCAGTTTAATATTAGAAGACAGATGACTTCAATTATAATTAATATTAAAAGACTAACGGAGAAACTCATTAAAAGATGTGTAAAAACTTTTTGGTAAAATTCAGCGTTCATTTATAAAAACTCTTAGATACTAGATGTAGACGGGAATTTTTTTAACCTAATAAACTATCTGAAAGAAACACCACACCTAGTAGACAAACACCAAAAGCATTCCCTATTAGGCTGGGTATAAGACAAGGATAATTGCTACCAACACTTCAATAAAGCATTGTACTATATAATCAGATAATCCAAAAAGGCATAAATGTTGGAAAAAAAGTTATAAATCTGTGATTATTCATAGGGATTGTATATAAAGAAAACAAAAAGGAATCTAAATTATTGCAATTAATAAGAAAGTTTAGCAAGGTTACCAGATTAAAAAAAGAGAGAGAGAGAGACAGGCTCTTGCTATGTTGCCCAGGCTGGAGTACAGTGACTAGGTTACTAGATTTTTTTAAAGTACAATGAAAGTAATCACATTTCTATACATTAGCAACAACAGAATGCAATTTTAAAATATCCATATGAACAGCATCAAGAGTTACAAATACATAGAATAAATCTCACCCAGGCGGTGGCTCACGCCTGTAATCCTGGCACTCTGGGAGACCAAGGCGGGCAGATTGCTCGAGGTCAGGAGTTGAAAACCAGCCTGATCAAGAGTGAGACGCTCTCTACTATTAAAATAAAAAGAAATTAATTGGCCAACCTAATATAGTATAAAAAAAAATGCCGGGCATGGTGGCGCATGCCTGTAGTCCCAGCTACTTGGGAGGCTGAGGCAGCAGAATTGCTTGAGCCCAGGATACTGAGGTTGCTGTGAGCTAGGCTGACGCCACAACACTCACTCTAGCCTGGGCAATAAAGCGAGACTCTGTCTCAAAAAAAAAAAAAAAAGAGGAAAAAATAGAAAGAAATTAGCCAAACAACTAAAAAATAGAAAAAATTAGCTGGGCATGGTGGCACGTGCCTGTAGTCCCAGCTACTCGGGAGGCTGAGGCAGAAGGACTGCTTGAACCCAGGAGTTTGAGGTTGCTGTGAGGTAGGCTGACGCCACAGCACTCTAACCTAGGCAAGAGAGTGAGACTCTGTCTCAAACAAAACCAAAAAAACACATCAGGCTGGGTACTGTGGCTCACGCCTGTAATCCTAGCACTCTGGGAGGCTGAGGCGGGTGGATCACTCAAGGTCAGAAGTTCAAAAGCAGCCTGAGCAAGAGCGAGACCCCATCTCTACTAAAGATAGAAATACATTAATTGGCCAACTAAAATATATATAGAAAAAATTAGCCGGGCATGGTGGTGAGTGTCTGTAGTCCCAGCTACTCAGAAGGCTGAGGCAGGAGGATCACCTGAGCCCAGGAGTTTGAGGTTGCTGTGAGCTAGGCTGACACCATGGCACTCTAGCCCGGGCAACAGAGTGAGACTCTGTCTCGAAAAAAAAAAAAGATCAAATACAGAAACTAGCAGATGTGTTCATTATAGTGCTTATTCCTCAACTTTCCTATGAAAGCTTAATCTATTCATTCTATAAGTATTTATTGAACATTTCAAAATCCCTGGCATTTTCCATTGTCACTTTTTTTTTTTTTTGAGACAGAGTCTCACTCTGTTGCCCAGGCCAGAGTGCCATGGCATTAGCCTAACTCACCTCAAATTCCTTGGCTCAAGCAATCCTTCTGCCTCAGCCTCCCGAGTAGCTGGGACTACAGGCATGCACCACCATGCCCGGCTAATTTTTTCTATATATATTTTTAGTTGGCCAATTAATTTATTTCTATTTTTAGTAGAGATAGGGTCATGCTCTCGCTCAGACTGGTTTTGAACTCCTGACATTGAGTGATCCTCCTGCCTCAGCCTCCCAGAGTGCTAGGATTACAGGTGTGAGCCACCACACCTGGCCTATTGTCACTTTCAATTGTTACCCTGAGGAAAACTGAAGCAATCAGAATAGAATTTCCACAGATTCCCACCTCAAAATCTACTTTCTTGTCAGCATCTCTACCTACTCTGCCTTCCACCAATTTTTTAAACAATTTAGCAACAAAGATAAATAATACAGAATTGGACTATAACCCAAAGTATTGGACTATAACCCAAAGAATTGGACTATAACCTAAAAGTCCACAAGTCCATACTGATTGAAATAAGTGATTGAATTTTAATACAAAGAAGAGATAAATGGCAGGGGTAGTAGTAGCTGGAGGGGGAAATGAGGTCACAAACTTAGCAGCTTAAAACAACACAAATTCATTATCTCACAGTTCTGTAGGTCAGAAGTCCAGGTGGGCTCAGCTGGTTTCTCTTCTCTGGGTGTCACAGGGCTGAAATTAAGGTGTTGGCCAGCCTGTAAACTTATTTGGGAGCTCTGGAAGACAGTTTGCTTCCAATTTCATTCAGATTTTTGGTAGAATTCAGTTCCTTATAGTTATAGGGCTGAAGTCCCAGTTTCCTTGCTGTTTATTAGCCAAGAGCCTCTATTAGGTCCTTATGGCTGCCTGCATTCCACATTATGTTACCCCTACATCTTCAAACCAGCAATGACGGGTCTCTGACTTCTTCTGCCACATATCTCTTGCTTCTAGCTCTGTAGGGATCATGTAATTAGATAGGGCTCAGGACAATCTATCTTAATTATATATGCAAAGTCCCTTTTGCCATGTAAGGTAACATGTTCACAATGTCTAGGGGTTAGGGCATAGACATCTTTGGAAGGCCATCTCACCTACCACATTTGGTTTTCCACCAATTAATTTATTCCAGTTCAAATTCCATGGAAAGGCACTGTTCTTTATAAGGAATATCTATTAAGTATCTTAACACTTTTTAAAACATGATCTCCAATCAACTGTATTGTCTGTCCTAGTCTCATTAGCATATATATTTCTTCTTGAATAACTGTCCTGAATTCCATTTCCCCAGCCTTCCAACATGCCTACAACTTCTTCAACAAGGATAAAACAGGCTGTATTGATTTACACGGAATGATGTGCACTTTAGCTAAATTGGGAATGAGTCTAAGCAAGTATGATGTCTATAATGAATTAAGATGTGCTGATGTTGATGGTGAGTACTTTTCTCATTTTTCTCTTAAAAGATTTTGATAAATATATTTTTCCCCAGTGGCTGTATAAATATGAAAAATAAACCTTACTTGCTCAAAAATATGTGTATGTGTGTGTGTGCGTGTGTGTCCCTTTGAGGATATCAGTGAAGTATGTATACAAGTTATGAAATCAAATTAATGCTACAAAATAGACTATTTGAAAATTCTTTGTAGAAACTAAGAGTGACTGTCTCATTTCAGTATCAAATTCAGGTTACCTATCATGATGTACATTTTGGAGGGTACCTTGAAATAACAGATACAAAGTCAATAACAATATCAAACACAGCACATTATTGAGAAAATCCAAGCCCTTTGTTTCTGTTTGAATCATAATAGAACAAATCTTCCTTTTCCATCATTAGGGCCCACTTAAATTGAATTGTAAATCATACAGCATTTTTGTTGGTATTTTTAAAGTATACAAATGTTTTTATTGAATATACTGACCTAGTGATTAGTAGCCCAAGCTGATATGGTGCGTGGAAAATACATTCAGTTTATTGTCTCCTCTCACCACTCTCCACGCAACTGCCAGTGCCCCATTTAGTTCCACATGTGGTTCAACATCACCAGTTAATTAAGATGTCACTTGTTTTTACTAACTCTGCCCATTTTTCTGTTAGTTCTTGGAAACACACACACGCACACCTCTAATAGTACTCACTATCTTTTCATTTTAGAGGAAATGGCACAATGTGGGGATGTGATATAATAGGAATAATGTGGTGGGAAAGCAGGGTAGACTCTACAAATATGGCAAGTTTCTGGAAAAGGAGTGAACAGACATACAGCAGTGGCTGGGCGCCCCGAGTTTGATGTTTATATACCACCATCTCTTCTTCAGGCTGTGGGGGGCTATTGTAATGGAGCTGAGACCACTTCAAGAAGACCATCACATATGGCTTCTTAGCCTTTCGGCTGAGAGCAAGTAAAAAAGACTATCACTTGCCTGAGCATATCTCCAGCCCTAAAATGCTCTGATTTTAAGTATTAAATGGTCCAGAGTGTTTTAATTTTTATATTTAAAATACATTATAATAATTAAAATACATCTTATTCTTGTTCTGAGCCTTAGATTTCTGTTGCAGGAGATGGGAAGGTGAACTTCTCAGACTTCATAAATGTGCTAACAGATAAGAACTGCTTCCTCAAGGCTGTGCGTGAGTAGAGCTTTTACTGAATAGAAGGCAGTTGGGCAGCTACAACTCACTCCACAGTAAATGTTATTCACTTCGGCTCTGATCAGGAGGCAGATCAGGAAGGTGTAGTCTTGGATATGACTCACTTGAGTACTGCTTCTCCAAAGCAATATCTGCCGAGCAAACTGATATAGTTTTAGAATTTTAACTTAAATACATCAAGTGGGTATTGCCCTGGCATTGTCCTGAAAGCCTCCTATGGGGGACACTACCCTTTGGTCTCCAATGAGAACACTCAGGGAGTAACTGGTATAGAAAAGTGTGATCTCCTTTTATAGTGTTTGAATTCTTTACCAAGTGTATGTACTACTTTAAGAGGCATTCCTTTATAAAAGAAAAAACATTTTTTTCAGAGAAAGAAAAATGCTCTCTGTCATGTAAATGTGGGGTGTTGATAATTTACTGTTCTTGAAAAAATACCTTCCTCACATTGATGAAGCCTTTACCCTCAGTGCTGGAGAGTTTGCTGGAGGCTAGAGGCATGTTCTCACCCAAGGCTGTACATGATGTGTAGGTATGATAGAAATATTGTTATTAGTACACTCATTGTTTGTTTACTAGTTTAGCAGCTTGCCTTGGAAAATCTAACCACTACTCATATCATGTTTTCTAGGATAAATACATTTCAAATTCAAAATAATATATACAGTTTTGAAAATATATGCATTCATAAGCTATGAACTCCCCTTAGGATAAAGAGAAGCTACTGGCCGGGTGCAGTGGCTCATGCCTGTCTGTAATCCTAGCACTCTGGGAGGCCAAGGCAAGCAGATCGCTCAGGGTCAGGAGTTCGAAACTGGCTTGAGCAAGAGCAAGACACCGGCTCTACTAAAAAAATAGAAACAAATTAATTGCCCAACTAAAAATATATAGAAAAAATTAGCCGGGCATGGTGGCGCATGCCTGTAGTCCCAGCTACTTGAGAGGCTGAGGCAGAAGGTCGCTTGAGCCCAGGAGTTTGAGGTTGCTGTAAGGTAGGCTGATGCCACGGCACTCTAGCCCGGGGAAATAGAGTGAGACACTGTCTCAAAAAAAAAAAAAAAGAGAGAAGCTACTGCTTGCAAGTACTACTATAGAAATGGGGGTTTGCCTAGAAAAACAAGCCAATAGTCCTTAACATATAATTCATGTTTATGTTTAAAGTATTCTTATATTTACTTAGAAGTCATTAAACTAAAAGTATTTTTATATTCCATGATTATTCTGTCTGCTGAGTAATCAAAATGACCTTTCTACCAAATAGAACAGATTTTTAATGTTTTACTGTATCTCTAGTCTCTGACCTGATATTATTATAAATAATCAGTAAAAAGACTGTCATTTTATTATTTTTTGATAGATGGTTTATTCAGAAGGCATTTTGAAATCTTTTCTTTTCCCTTCATAGTTCCAGAAAAGGAGATCTGTTTAGATTTAGCTGGCAACCCGGGGATCCTATTGTTTGAAATCCTATCAAAGCTTGTAGAGACTTCAGCCCTACCCAAAAAGGCTATAATGGAAATAGTAAGGTAAATGGGAAAGAACGGGTCAAAAACAGCCTTTTCAGAAGTATTTATGGGGATATTAACATGGAAGTCACCTCTTATTAACATCCAACTCCACGGGGTCTGGTCCAAAACAAAGGAGAAGGTATCTGGACAGATGCTCACATGCCATAATATGAGACCGTATTCCTTTATCCCTACATTCCTGCCTAGCTCTGAAATTGCAAGGCTGACCTCAGTCCCTCTCAGGGCCCCACTGAGGGCCTAAAACACTCAAGAAATTTCAGCCTTTCATATCTCAGGCCAGAAAATCCCAGCAGAATAAGACTTTTCTGGGATGATTTTGGGTAGACTTAGAAATCCAATTTGGAATATAAGACACTCGTGTTCATGCAAAAATTACCAGGGGCTCTCAAGAGGGCCTCTGACTCTGGGATGAGGTACAGCAAGTTCACACCTCCCAAGGTAGCCTTTGGACTAGAGCAGAGCCAGAATCAGACTTGGAATAAAAGATGAGAAAACATTCTTACACCCAAAATTGTTTATTTATTCCAATACAAAGTACTAAAAATAAATCTCCTCAATCTATTTTTATCACTGTATTAATTATAGAAATTAAACAAATGTTGCCATTGTCAATTTCAACTTACACTCCTTCAAAGCGTTCTGGTGTCCCATATTTAAAAGTGCAGAATATCACCAACAATGTAAAAATATTCTTCTTCCCCTCAATAGGTATTCTCTTTATACTATCTTATCTCTCTGTCAGATGTGGAACAGAGGGTGCACAAAATTCTACTTTTCATTCCAATTCAAAGTTATTTATTAAATGCCTGCTGTTGGTACACAAATCTGGCACATTGCTTACCGTTCAGGCTCAGTTTCCTCATCCATAAAATGGGGATGATAATAATAATACCTTTAGGGCAATTGTGGGAATGATGTGTGATAATGCATGTGAAGCACTTGACATATTATAAGAGCTCGATAAATATTAGTTATTATTATTATGTAGAAGCAACTAGAATAAGCATAGAATATACATATTATCGAATTTAATCCTCACCTCCCTAATGAGTAGATATTACTATCACTTCTCATTTTACAGATGAAAAAACTGAAGCACAGGTCAGTTAAATAACTTGCCCAAGAGGCAGTGGTGCCTAGATTTTAGCACAGTCTGGTTCCAGAATTCATGCTCTTATCCACCTCCCTGTACTGCCTCTCACACTCAGTAAGTGCTCGGGTAACGTTAGCTGACATTGGTGTTTTTATTGTTCTGGTGGTAGTGGTTGTTATTCATCTGGTTATTATGTATCTGGTCATCTTGCTATTGCTTGGTACCTAACCAAATTAAAACTATTTAAGACATAGCATTTCCATTTAAGGAGCTTAAAATATAAATGAAGAGAAAAGCCATAAATATGTGGACACTTAAAACATACAGAAGTAAAATAATATAAAATATGTTGTATAATTGTCAAATAAGTGGCAAAGATAATTTAGTTTCCTGAAGAAGCAGTTCTTGAGCTAGTTAATAGTTGAATTTGTTAGGTATTCATATAGTTGATACCATTTATTGAACATTTACTAAGTGCAAAGCTCTGAGCAAGCACTTTACACACATTTATTTTCCCCTAGATGCTGACTGATCTCTGTCCTCGCACCTTTTGACTTTTCCTCCCCTGCCCTGCCTGTCGCATAGTCTGCTCTCAACACTCCCTGTGCCTAGCTGACCCCTTGACTCCTATAGCGCCAAATGACCCTTTTAAAACATTGCTGGCCGGGCGGGCGAGGGGGCTCACGCCTGTAATCCTAGCACGCTGGAAGGCCGAGGCGGGCGGATTGCTCAGGTCAGGAGTTCGAAACCAGCCTGAGCAAGAGTGAGACCTCATCTCTACTATAAATAGAAAGAAATTAATTGGCCAACTAATATATATGTATATAAAAAAATTTAGCTGGGCATGGTGGCGCATGCCTGTAGTCCCAGCTACTCGGGAGGCTGAGGCAGAAGGATTACTTGAGCCCAGGAGTTTGAGGTTGCTGTGAGCTAGGCTGACGCCACGGCACTCACTATAGCCTGGGCAACAAGTGAAACTCTGTCTCAAAAACAAAAAACAAAAAACATTGCAGATTATGGCACCCCTTTGCTCAAAACCTTCAGAACCCTCCCATTTCCCTCCAAGTAGAAGCCAGTGTTTATGATGATTTATTGGCTCTCTGTGTGATCTGCACTCCCCTGTGACCTCTGACTTCATCTCCTGTTACTCTGCTGTAGCCATGCTGGCCTCCTGGCTGTTCCATATACACTAGACATGCTCTCACCTCAAGGCCTTTGCACTTCCTCTCCCCTCTATCCGAAACACTTTTCCCCTGGATATCCCATGACTCACTGTACTCACTCTCACCCACCTTCAGGTCTTTGTTCAAATGTCATCTCAGTAAGGCCTTCTCTGACCACCCTATTTAAAAATGCAACCCTCCTACCACTCCCTGTTTCCACTCTCTGCTTTATTTTTCTTCATACTATTTTCACCTTCTAATATACTAAATAATTTACTTATTTATTTTATCTGTTTTCTCATGCTAGAATGTAAGCTCCATGAGAGCAGGGATTATTTTTTGTCCGTTGTATTCACTGCTATATCTGCAGAGTCTAGACAAATGCTTGGTATACACCAGGCACTCAGTAATTATTTGTCAAATGACCTCATTTAATCCCCAAATCAAACCCGTGAGGTACGTTCCAATACCTCCATTTACATACAGACAAGGAGAATGAGGCACACAGAAGATCATACTGTATCTCCAGCCAACCTCCCCCTCTATAGTTTCCATCTGCCTACCAGGCATCTCCATTGGGAAGCCTACAGGCACCTCACACCCAAAATGTCAAAACTTAACTCACTTCCTTGCCCCAAACCTACTTCTACTAGTTCTTCCACTTGGGTTCCAAATCTCAAGGAATGGCTTTACCATCTCAATGCATTTACTCAACTGCCTGGGCCAAAGGCCCAGTATAATCCTCAATTTTGCTGCTCTCTCCCCACATCCAGCCAATCACTAAATCCTGTCTATTTTACTTCCTAAACATGAAAGCCATACACTTTTCTCAATCCCCACAGAAACTACCCTCATGTAGGTCACCATCTTCTCACACTTACTGCAGTATTCAAACTTGTCTCTCTGCCTCCCTTCTCGCCATCTCTATCCATTTTCCATACTGCATCCAGGTGCTAACTGAATGTATGTAACATTTACTTGGGAAATATGTACTGAGTGCCTAAAATGCCAAGCACAAATCCAATCATATCACTTACCTGCTAAAAAGCCTACAATGTCTTTTCATGTCCCCTCTGAAAAAGTTCCAACTTAACATGACATTTTCTTTCTTTTTTTAAAGACAGAGTCTTACTCTCTTGCCCGGGTTAGAGTGCCGTGGCATTAGCCTAGCTCACAGCAACCTCAAATTCCTGGGCTCAAGTGATCCTCCTGCCTCAGCCTCCTGAGGAGCTGGGACTATAGGCACTCGCCACCATGCCCAGCTAACTTTTTCTATATATATTTTTAGTTTGCAGCTAATTTTCTTCCTATGTTTTTTTTTAGTAGAGATGGGGTCTCGCTCTTGCTCAGACTGGTCTCAAACTCCTGAGCTCAAGCGATCCTCCTGTTTGACCTCCTAGAGTACTGATATTACAGGCATGAGCCACCACACCCGGCCTAATGTGACATTTTCAAGGTAACTTCAGGATAAATCTTTTTGCTTGGCTCTCCAATCTCTCTCTTACAACTTCCCTTTTCACGCTGTAGAATAAATCTGGTTCAGGTACTCAAATACTCCATGCTCCTTCACCTCCTGGTATTTGCCTAAAACGTTTTCTCCCTTCTTGAATCAGTTTCCTACAGCTGCCATAAAAAATTAATACAAACTTGGTAGCTTACAATAATAAAAATTATTCTCTCACAGTTCTGGAGACCAGATGTCTGAAATCAAGGTGTCAGCGGGGCCTCACTTCCTCTTAAGATCCTAGAGGAGAATCCTTTGCATATTCCAGTTTCTGGTGACTCCTGGCATCCTTGGCTTGCAGCAGCACAACTCCTATTTCTCCCTCCATTTTCACAATATTTTCTTCCATGTTTCTCTCAATTCTCCCTTTCCTTTCCTATGTAAGAACACCAGTCATTAGATCTAGGATCCACACTAAACGCAGGAAGCTCTCACCTGGAGATCCTTAATTCAATTACATCTGCAAAGACCTTCCAAATAAGGTCACATACACAGGTACAGGGGTTAGGACATGAACATATCTTTTTGAGAAACACACTATACCTATCAATGCTTAGCTGACTCCTGCTTATCTTTTAGGTCCCAGTCAGTAGTCACGCCCTCTGAGACACCTTTCCTGACTCCCAATTCTGGGTCAAGGTCACTCCTTCATGCTTCTCTTTTCCCTATCATACAGCATATTGCACTGTTGAAATTACAGTCATTGTAATTTCTTATCATAAATTCCTAAAGAATTTATATCCTAAAATGCCCAGTAACATATTTCCTAAATCTGTTCATATACATGTACATACACATAACACTCCAAGAAAAGATCGGAAAGAAATGCAATCAATAGTGACTTACAGCTGTGAATAGTGGCTCATGCCTGTAATCCCCCAGTACTTTGGGAGGCTGAGGTAGGAGGATCATTTAAGGACAGGACTTCAAGACCAGCCTGGACAACATAGTGAGACTTCATCTCTACAAAACATTAAAAACAGCCAGATGCAGTGGCACACACCTATAGTCCTAACTACTTGGGAGGCTGAGGTGGGAGGATTGCTTGAGCCAGGAGTTCCAGGCTGCAGTGAGCTGTGAGCTTGGGGGACAGAGCAAGACCCTGTCTCTAAACAACAACAACAAAAAAATTGTGCTTTACTCACAATTACTGGTAGTATTTTCTTCTTTATGTTTTCCAAATTCTCTGCAATGAGAATTTTTTAATTAAAAAAAGTTGCATTTTAAATCCCAACACAAAATAGGAATGATAATAAGTATGATTAATGTTTGTATTCAAGCTGGTATCACTTAAGGGTTTGTCAAGAAACCTCATCTATAAATATTTTTCTAGAAAAAACTGAGAGGTTTTGGGGAAGACAAAGGAAACCAAAAGCCAAGGACTACAGATATAAAATAGTCAAATGGCCGGTGGAAAATATCAGTAGCTATTCTATAAGTGTCACAAAAATAGGCACCCAAATATTATTGAATAAATATGCAAATTAGATTTAAAAGTTTGTTCAGCATATGTAACTTGCAACTTGACAAATATTTTGGCCTATAGCTGTTTTAATCCATTTCTGAATTACTATTTTTTTAAAAGCTATTTCCGAAAAAAATTCCAGCATACTGGTAGAGGAGTAATATGGAATCCCTGTGCTACGAGTTATGGAAAAAAGAGACTTAAGCCAGAAGTGTACACACCTTCAAGCTCAAGCACAGCTGCCTTTGCTAATGCTGCCCGAGCTGCAATAATGAAAGAAAAGGATTTATTTAAATTTCTTGAAGAGCTCAAGAGTAAGAGCCATTTGTTCTCTCTCCCCTGTTGTAAAGGATTTATGTGTATATGACCTGTCAGAAATAAATACTAGAGGCCAAGTGCTGTAAGAGCAGGACTGCAGTCTATTTTGAGTGACTGGTCTCTGTCACATAGATATCATTTGAAAGCAAATGTACATCTTACCTGAATCTTCAGATGCCTGGATGAAGCATAGAGTCAGTGGATGGGTGGGGCATGGCGGCAGGAGAGTGAAGAAGGGGGGTCATGGCCACTGGGAAGAATAGATAAAGAGCAAAACAGGCAATGGATGTTTGTCTTTTATGTGAATTTCTTCTTACCTGGCTTGTGATACCATTTTTGTTTTTATCTCTTTAGGATGCAATCCCCCTTCAGATAGCCCATATTCAAAAATACCCATCTTTCCACTGTTTCCTAACGTGGATGGGGTAGTGATGGGAAAGCCATTCAGAGACGTACAGAAATTAGAAACGTTAAGGAAAAAGGAACCTTTGAATTTCTTTGATAACTATTTTTTCCATAAAAAGGACTGGAAAGCACAGGTGAGATTTAGATTGTGTCACATTAGCTAATTTAAATACTTAGATTTTTAAGTACTAATTTAACAGAACTAATAACACGCTTTTTACAAATGTTTTTAGTCATATTTCAAACCAGATTCCATAGCCATGTGCCTAAATTTAAGCCCAAGTGTAAATATTTCATTTATTTTTAACAAATAGTTAAACTTACTGAAAAATAGAACCCTAGATTTGGGTTTGGGTATGGAGAATATAAGAATAATAACAGAAGGCCCTCCTACCCGAGGCTGCTGTCCAGAGCTGCACTTTGGACTCCTTCAATCAGCTCTAGATTGTGGTTGGGCAGACACCATGGGATGAGAGAACAAGTCCATAACCTGATGGAAAGGCCACCCTGCCCTTGGCTAGAACCCCACCACTGTCCCAGCTGCACCTTCTGGCCCTGTTTGACACTCTGTTGCCTCTAATCTATTTGCTCCCCTCCCAAGATATACTCTGTCATCATGAGTTTTAAGGTCTCAGGCAAGTTATACCCAATTTACCCCAGGTTTGTCACTGGCCTCCCAGCCTAAGAAACAGGATCAAGATTTAACTGGAAACTAGCCCACCCTGTGTGGCATCTCTGGGATCCAGAGGTCCATGTATTGTTTACACCATTATAAAATCCCTAGAAGGCCCCTCCAGACATAGGGTTTAAGAGTCCCAGAGGGTGCCAGTCCTGGTGTCTCATGCCTGTAATCCTGGCACTCTGGGTGGCTGAGGCGGGAGGATTGCTTGAGTTCAGGAGTTTAAGACTAGACTAAGCAAAGCTGAGACCCCCACCACTACCAAAAAGAAAGAAAGGAAAAAAAAAAAAAAAAACAACCAGGCATTATGGGATGTGTTTGTAGTCTTAGCTGCTTGGGAGGCTAAGGCAGGAGGATCACTTGCGCCCAGGAGCTGAAGGTCGCTGTGAGCTAGGCTGATGCCACAGCACTCTAGCCCAGGCAACAGAGTGAGACTCTGTCTCAAAAAAAAGAGAGAATGAGGGAAAAATGGGTTAAAGGATGGAGAAATCCTAAGATGGAAAAAAAAGTTAAGAGAATTCATATTAGATAGCTTTAAAGAGACAAGCTCATCAGCTGAGAGAGTTTGAAGGTTTGGTTGTCCAGCAGCCACTATGATGATGGTAAGAGAGTTAACAGAAAATGAAGGAAAAAATGTCAAGCAGTACCGAGGGCCTGAATGAGGTAATACACATTTTCAAAGAAAGCAATCTCATATTTACATGATTTCCACCAGCATTGTTCACTAGCCCAAGAACAGGGGAAAGAGATGGCTGATTCCCTAGGAGAAGTTTGGAAGTAATAAAAGCTGTCTGGAGGGCACAATCATTTTTGGTGTTTTGTGATGGTGGAAGGTTTGGGTCATGATGGTGTTTGCTCCTCCATATCCTCCATATGCATTGCATGTGGAAACTGATCTATACATTTCTTACAAGAAGGCTTCATCATTATTAAGGAGAATTTATCAAATGTCCATTTACACATGGCACTAAGCTAGGTGCTCCAAAACAACTGACAAATGGTTTAGCAATAACCTGATAAATCATATACAAATCTTTTCATCATAAAATATACTTATGTTTATTATATATTTATTGTTGCCTAATTCAAACTAAAATGTATTACTAACCTTCTTTTTAAAATGTGCATACAGGCAGCAAATATAAAGCCTATAGACCCTGCCTCAGGCTATTCAAGTGAAATCTATACCATTGGTGAAATGTTCAAGAGAAAGCAGACTTGGACAGTGGCTGATGCAGCTGATATTAAACAGCAGGTGAGTAGTCATTGTTGAATGCCTTCCCAGAAGGCATTGACAAAAATATTCTCTAGTTAAATACTACATCATAAAACCAAGAAAATTTTGATATGCCCTATGCTTTTAAAATGAGACAAGATCGTTGCTCATTTTAACCCATTATAATGACAACATTTCTTGCTCCACAATCAAATGGATTCTAATGTGAAGTGTTATGATTTCATCCCTGCCCCATTTCTGGGACACTCATTTGTTTCATGCTGTAAATAGCAAACTAATTAAGGTAGGAAACTGACAGTCACAGTGAGTGGTGTACTCAAGGGATCATGGTGAGTAAAAGCATCCTTATTATAGCAGCTCAAAAATAATAGTAATAGTTTCCTAAGTGCCAGGCACCATGTTCTACAGTGCTGATTCACTTAATTATCACAACACTTTAAGGTAGGCTCTGTTGTCATTTCTTGTCATTTTACAGATATGTACAGAGAGGTTAAGTGATTTTCCCAAAAGCACACACCTAATAAGTAGTAGATTAAGGAATATAAACATGGGAAATGTAGCTACAGAATACATACTTTTTTTTTGAGACAAGGTCTCACTCAGTTGCCCTGGCTAGCATGCAGTGTGTCATCATCACCGCAACCTCAAACTCCTCAAGGAGGAGTTAGGCTCAAGCATCTTCCTGCCTCAGACTCCTGAGTAGCTGGGGCTGCAGGCATACACCACCAGGCCTGGCTAATTTTTTCTATTTTTGGTAGAGACGGGGTCTCACTCTTGGTCAGGCTGGTCTTGAACTCCTGACCTCAAGTAATCCTCCCACCTTGGCCTCCCCCAAAGTGCTAGGATTACAGGCGTTAGCCACAGCACCCAGCTGGAATACACAATTAACCATAAATCTATGCTGTCTACTTTTGTAGCCTGACTTATTAGCAACTTTTGTACCCCACAGAGATAGACAAGGATGTTATTTATTTTATGCCATCTCCCTCTGCATTTGATACTAATAATAAAGCTCTCCTTGACACTTCTACTTCTTTCGCCTTTCCAGTACTGCATCTTCAGTTCTCCTTGTAGTTCTGTGTCCTTTCCTCTCTCTTCTCTTTCCTGAATGATTGTCCCTTAAGTATTGATATTTCCTAGTTTTCTGGTCTCATTCTATTGCTCTTCTCATTGTATACACTCACCCATTCATTTGTTCAATAAATTTTTATCCATAAGTTCTGAGATTAGGAGATACCACAGAATAAAAAACACACTTCGTACCCTCACTAAGTTTGGAGTGAGGGTGGAAGATGTGGAGAAAGAAACGGGCAGTAGGAATATATTGAGATAAATGGAATTACAAATGCATGCACAAGATCACAAAACAGTGAAATCTCAACCTCTGTCTCATCATGGCACAAATTCACAGTAGAGTAAGTGGAGGCTGCTTACATCCAGAGGCCTCCAGCCCTAGGGCACCAGCTGCCTGAAGGGCTAAGAAGCCTGAAAAGATCAATAGTTTGCATCTCAGTAACCCTGTTGCAGCAAAACATTGGGGATCTCTGCTTTAGTTGAAGGAACAGTGAGAGCAAATAGTCTTCAGGCTATCTTGATCCATCCTGTGTTTCAGCTGCCACCTATATACTGAAAACTTTTAAATTTGTCACTAGCCTAGACTTTTTTCCTATTCTTCTATCCTATCTCATTGACTGCATAAAGAACATTTCTACCACTATATGATGTCTTATAGCAGTGGTCCTCAAACTTTTTAAACAGGGGGCCATTTCACTGTCCCTCAGACCATTGGAGAGTGTGCACTATGGGCCCGGGACAAGTTGACTGCTAAGCAGGACAGGCAGCAGCGGCAAGAACACCTGGCAGGCGGGATAAATGTCCTGGGTGGGCCGCATGCAGCCCGTGGGCCATAGTTTGAGGACCCCTGTCTTATAGCATAACAAATTCAAACATGTCCAAAACCAAACTCATCAACTGCATCAAACTGGCTATCCCCTGGGGATTCTGTATCTCAGTTGTTGATACCACCATCTACACAGTCACTGAAGCTATAAGGCTAGGAGCCATCATTAACTTAGACATTTTTACTCATTCCTCACATCCACCAATCAAGTCCAGCCCCTCTAATTCTCCTAAAACTTTTCAAATTTGTCCCCTTCACTCTGTCCCTATTGCCACTACCTTAATTGAGGCCCTTATTAGGTCTCCAGCCTGATATCCTTATCTCTGTAGCTCCTTCCCTCCAACTATTCTCCACACAGCTGCATGAAGATCCAACCATGTCACTGTCCTACTTAAAAGTGAATGTGTCCCTCTCAACAATGGCAGCCTTTTTCAACTCTATTTTCTGCTCCACACCACTGAGGAATTTATCTCACTTTAATCTAAAACAGTGGCTCACTACAGCATGACTTTGGCTGAGGAAAGGGCTCTCCCCAACCCCACTGAGATCACCAACTTATAAGATTAAGTCTAAGGGCCTGCCTCTCTTCCATCATGACTCCTTCCTTCCCACTTTAAACTTGACACTCTTATAATACTAATACCAAGTTCCTGTACCCTCCTACCAACTCCAGGATGTTTAGTGCCTTGGAGCCTTTGTTTATGCTTTCCCTTCTGCCTATATACACCTTCCCATCACAGCTCACTCCCTCAATTTGATCAGATCCTTGAGGACCTACTCAGCTAAGCTTCTCCCTGACGGTTCTCCCTGTCCTAGGCTGAATTAGGGCCCATCCTTGGCAGTATTATTATATCTGGAGCCTATTACCATCCCACAGTTCTCCCTACTTTAGTTATTTTAGACAGAGTCTTGCTCTGTCGCCCCAGGTAGAGTGCAGTGGTATCACTCTAGCTCACTGCAACCTCAAACTCCTAGGTTCAAGCAATCGTTCTGCCTCAGCCTCCCAAGTAGCTTAGGACTATGGGTGCATACCACCATGCCTGGCTAATTTTTCTATTTTTTTAGTAGAGATGGGGGTGTCACTCTTGCTCAGGTTGGTCTCAAACTCCTGAGCTCAAGAGATCCTCCTGCCTTGACCTCCCAGAGTGAATGTTAGGATTACAGGCATGAGCTACCTTGCCCAGCCCCTTAGTTCATTGTATTTTTAATATTCTCATAAAACTTCTTTTTTTATATATTTTTAAAATTTTTATTTTTTACTTTTTAAAATTTTTTCACATAAGACGTTCACACAGAATAAAACTTCTTACTATCTCATTATTCCCAAGAAATATATTTTGATTGTCCATCAACTCCTAGCTCACATGTCCTCAAGAGGCACAAACTCTTGAGGCTCAGTGACTTTCAAGGCCTGGGAACATAACTCTTGGAATATCTATAATTGTGGTCCACAAATTAAAGATATTTTAAGGTAACTGCTGTAAACTTCTGCTCTCTCACTGCAGGTGAAGAGAGCTACAGATAACTATCATTTAGGGATTGCCCTTGAGCGCCGGAAAGAAATGCTAAACTTCTGGCGGAAGATCCGAGGAGATTTGGTTGGGATAGACACTAAAAATGAGTCCTTTTATGACACCTTTTCTACTTACACATGGTCCTGGAATGTTTGTCAAGAATTACTTTCTCCTAAGGATTTAAAGTTATATGATTCCTACATGAATGGAAATTCCACCCACAACTCTGGACTCTCTTCCCCATCAGATGTCAGTGAAAGTGACATAGAGACAGGAAGAAAAAGAAAATGGAAAAGTTCCAGAGGGTTTCAACAATGAAATGTCTACATTTTCTAAACAGCTCGTCACAAACTACTTTTTCATAGTTATCAAAATTATGGTTTCTTGCTTTTGTCTAGCACATCCTTAGCAGCTGGAAATTTTGACATCTTTTGGATTCTGACCAGTAAAATGTTTAAGTCATAAAATGGTTTCCCTTTCCTAAATCTTTACTAGTAAATAGATGCAGTGCTGTTTCGTTCCCTAGCAACCAGCTGCACTCTGCTGCCCCCACCTGGCCTAAAACTGCTTGGGCCTCAGCAGGAAGGAGAAAAGCTGGCCTTTTGAGCTCCTAAGGGACCTCCAAGCAATAAATCTCTGAGTTCATGGCGACTGTCACAGGATTAGGTTTCCAATTGTTTGTGAAGGAGGCCAGAGATAGCAGATGACAATGACCTTTCAGTTTCAGGGAATATCACCAGCCCCCATAAAACTTGATTAAATTTAGGTGTTCCCAAGGATCCTTAGCTGTACACCTGCACATTTGGATTACTCTTACAAATGGCTGATCTCATCCATTGCATTTGTTGTTCTTTAATGCATTTAATAAAGAAGCACATATATAAATATATGACAAGTTTGGGGGTTGTAATGTTTTTATTGTGGGAAAATATACATTACATGAAAGTTTCTGTTTTAATCATGTTTAAGTGTGTATCATCCATTACATTTTTATTCTTCCTAGTTCCACCTTGAAGTTGTTAGGGCATTTTTCTATGAGTTGGCCACAGAAAGACAGATCACTTTTGGACTCAGGAAATCTGGGTCTACCAAAACTAAATCTTTTTATTATTTATTTATTTAGAGACTGAGTCTCACTCTGCTGCCTGGGCTAGAGTGCTGTGGTGTCAACCTAGCTAAACAGCAACCTCAAACTCCTGGGCTCAAGCAATCCTTCTGCCTCAGCCTCCCCAGTATCTGGGACTACAGGCATGCACCACCATGCCCGGCTAATTTTTTCTATATATATTAGTTGGCCAATTAATTTCTTTCTATTTTTTTTAGTAGAGACGGGGTCTCGCTTAGGCTGGTTTCAAACTCCTGACCTTGAGCGATCTGCACCCCAGCCCCCCAGAGGTGCTAGGATTACAGGTGTGAGCCACCACGCCTGGCCCAAAACTAAATCTTTATTAAACTTTTGATCTAGTGTCAGGACGGCAAAGTGTTTTATTTCCTGTACCAATTCTGATCTAAAAAAGTTAGGGATGAGATGAACTATTCGTAAATGTTATCCAAGAGACTGGTTTGTGTGTGTATGGCTAAATCCACACTTGACATATAGAACAAATGCTTTTAAAATTCAAATCATTATTCTAGACAAATATGATCCAGAAAAAGGAAAAGATATGTTCAACATTGATGAGGACAGTGGCTTATAATGTAAAATTATAAAATGCCAGGAAAAAGCAATGAAGATAGTGAAGGCCCCCAAAACTGTTTATTGAAATAGGCTTGAAGTAATTTTATGAGTGTTACCTTGAATATTCAAAAAAGTCTAAATATACTTCCTACTCTTTATAAAGTCACAATGTTGGGGAAAAGAACTAACCTTATAGATAAGTAACCACATCTTCTAGTCAAAAAACAAGACTTATGGTTTGACAAGAGACATTTTTTTGTATGGCTATGGGCTTAACAAGGAATACAGATGTAATTTGGATGCCAAAATATTAGAATTCCTGGAATATTTCCTTAGATTAATGGGATAACAGAACAGAATTTTTTAAGTAGATTTGTCCTGAAAATCTAAAATGTATACCAATACATTCTATTAAATTGTCACACACTGCTGATGACAGTATAAATTGGCACCTCTCTGCTGCAATATAGTATAGCAACAAGTACTCATACATTCATTCACTGATTATTTACTATGTTGCATACTATATTTCGGGCCCAGTTCTAGGACCTGAATATGTAACAGTGAACAAATAGATAAAATGCCCTGACTTCACAGACCTTAGTAATAGAGCTAATTATATCGTTGACTTAGCAATTCTACTTCCAGAAATTAATTCTAAAGAAATAATCATGAATGTACAAAATGATTTAGTTACAAAGATGTTTATCATGTTCAATTTTTAATAGTAAGACACTTAAAGTAGCCTAAATGTCCAATAAATCATGATATAGCTACACAAAACAATACCGGAAGGTTGTTAAATGATGTTATAAAATAATATTTCTAACAAAGGAATAATGTTTCCAAACTGCTGTTAAGATTAAAAGCAGGCTACAACTGCTAAGAGGCATGAGGGAACTTTATGGAGTTGTTCTAAAACTTGATGATGATGGGGGGGTGCACAAATATTTTTATGAAAATGTATTGAACTGTATACTTAAAATGGAAGAATGTAATTGTATGTAAATTATACCTCAATAAAGCTGTGAAAAAAAGTGTTTGTTCTGAAATTATTTTTAACTTAAAAGTTACTTATAAAAATAAATTAGAAAAAAAAGGAAGGATATACACCAAAGTGTTAATGGGTTAAATTAATGGTGGGATAGGGTATTTTCTTTTGTCTTATCTATATCTTCTAAATGTTCTATAATAAACATATATTTATTTTGCAATAAGAAAAAAAACACACATGCTGTTTTTAAATTATAGTCGTTAAACTAGCTTATACAACTACCTAGGACTTGTTACAAAGGCTCTCTAGGGTCTATGAAAACTTAAAGAGGGCAAATTAGGACACTAGGAACCCTTTCTCCAGCGCTCCAGTTCCACAGCACGTGCTTAAATAGCCCACAATTCTCACTGATTGGAACTGAAAGATAAGCTTGAAACAATTAACTGCCCTTGTCCTCGACTAACACCCAACGCAATAATCCAGAATAAGAGTTCTTAACCTTTACAAGCTTTGAACCCATGTCACCCACTGAGCTAGAGGAGTTCTCCTTAGTCACCACCAGAGGGACCCTTAGCTTCTCTGAAACAGTGTTCTCTGAGGCTACAATCCAGTATGAAGTCCGATACTGCAGAGAACTTCCAGCCATGTCTTTAAAACTTCGTTGGAAAAAATTATTGTAGGTGTTTCAAAAGATAGAAAAAATTAAATGTACAAGACAAGCAAAGATAACTGTATACAATTATATTTGGTATACTTCGGTACATTTTGCGAAAAGGGCCCAAGCTGTTTGACATTTTAAATGGTTCTAATTATTGGAACTACTATAGTATTAATAACTTCAAGTGACTACAAAGAGTGAGCTATCTGCAAGAAAATATGCAGTAGGACTGTTGATTGGAAAGACTAACAGTTTTTGGTGGGGGAAGAGAAAAAACCCGTGGATGAATGAAGATACCAAAAATAAATACAAATCAATTACCATATCTACAAACAGCTGGCCTTGAGAACAGATAGAAATCCTTGGACTTGTTTTTTAGCAAGGAGCTTTTGTTCAAAATGTTTCAAAAGACCACGAGAATGGCAAAAGTATTTTGTCTTCAAATAAAGTACAAGTTCTTTATTATCTTATTTTTTTAATTAACTCAACTTTTTCCTCCCTATTAGAGAGGGCTTAGAGCTTGTTCTCACTTCTTTGGTGGGAAAAGTATAGAATCATTCCTTGTTCCCCTTAATTTTACCTACAGAAAGAATCTGCAATGGAATAAACAATCACTGGTTACCAGGAATAAAGGATCACTGGTTACCAATGCACTATGTGTAGCACTCCACTATTAACCCTTTCCTTCTTTTCCAAGTGGTATTCATCATGCTTCTCTTGGAAGTCTTCTCAACTTGTATCTTATGTAGACAGAATACTTTCTTCTAAATTCTTTTGAGTGGCCAGGGTGTGGTAGCTCACGCCTATTATCCTAGCACTCTGAGAGGCTGAGTGGGAGGATTGCTTGAGGAGTTCAAAAACAGCCTGAGCAAGAGCAAGAAGAGCGAGACCCCATCTCTACTAAAAATAAAAAAAATTAGCGGGGCGTGGTGGTGTGTACCTGTAATACCAGCTACTCTGGAAGCCGAGGCAGGAGAATCCCTTGAGCCCAGGAGTTTGAGGTTGCTGTGCGCTAAGTCAGGCCACCGCACTCTGTAGTCCAGGAGACAGAGAGAGACTCCATCTTAAAAAAATAAATACTTTTGAGAATCTATTTGTCGTAATTATGGAAATAGACATAGAAGGCTGAAATATAGTAATACAACAAACTATATGTACGTATGTATTACAATCTTGATTGTGCCAATAAGCCTGGGTATGGATGATTCAAAAAGGTAGATGGTTATAAAATTTTTAAAAATTTGTCCTTGGATATTCCAATTGACTTAACCAGTAAGCCACGTGTTCTCAGAATTCATTTCATATCCATCCCAATCCTCCTCCCCCTACAAAAATATATACACATATTGTATGTGTGTGTGTGAGAGAGAGAGAGAGAGAGAGAGAGAGAGAGGAGCTGACTAGAGAAGTAGGAAAACTGCCCTGTTTCCTCCCTCTGCTCGCTACCAGTGATTAAAGATTTTTCCTATTTTACAACTTGAGAGAAACGGGGGAACTTGGCAGAGGATCCCAGCATTAAACTGGGGTTCAAGTGAAATGTCCCCCACTTTCTTCCCAGCCCGCACGTCCACTAGGAACAAAAACGACTCCGCCAGCTGGGTCCCCTTCCCGGGAGAGCCCTCCCCCAGGGCCGGTCCCACCCAGCAGAATTCGAACAGCTCCGGGACGCTTAACTACCGGCCTGCCCCGCCCCGCCTCGCCTCCCTCTTTTCCCGCCCAGACCCCGCACCTTCCGGAAAGGGGCGCGGCCCGCAGGAAGTTCTCGTGTCACGGAAAGGAAGGCATTTCCGGCTCCGGTGTCATGGCCGGTTGCTCCCGTGAAGAGGTGCCTGTGGCCATTGGCGGAAAGAGGCAGCAGTTCGGGAGCCGGTTCCTGAGCGACCCGGCACGCGTCTTCCACCACAATGCCTGGTAACCGCCCTGCCCCTTGTCTCGCTCCCTGAGCGCTCCAAGAAGCCCCGGACCGCCGGCGCTCTCCTCCCAGGGGAGAAGCGTTCCCGGGCCAGCCACTCACCCT